TTTTATTTCGAGACACAGAGCTACGCGTTCTGCTTGAAAGTTGGAATGAAGGAGTATGACTGGGGCAGAGCTCGGTGCGTCTCATTATGCGGCATTAAGCGCCTTGTTCTTTTTAAAAAGTTGCGCTCTGGGAGAGACATCACCGAGCTATGTTTTTGAGCTGCAAACAGCACTCGTGCATGCGTCAAGTCAGCTGGAAGCCGTAGCTTGGTTGCACTTACGGTGAGCAGCGCAGGGCAGGAGAACGGGTGGCAGAAACTTCCATTCTCGTTAGCTGTATTTCCAGCCACCATGCTATCACATTCCGACAAGCAGCAATACAACCACAAATTATTCATCGCAGCCACAGTCGCCAGTGCCGTCAAGAGCAACAGGGAGCACACTCATGATCTGTACTGAATTAAAGCAAAATTGATCATGACTGGCGCTATTTAGAAGTTTTGGGGTCTCTGTAGGAGACTAACAGATACCCTGACAAATCGGACACATGCAGATGAGCTGTACGAAGAGATCTTATGCATCAGTGTGTAAGCCAAAAGCGAGCTATAACGTGATTACGAATGATCTGAAGACATACATACACCAGAAATACTGCCCAATCCATGGACCTGTAGCCGTCTATAGATCATTTTCTATTCAGATGACTTTTCAGTTCAGCCACATGTGCAGATATGTTTTAACATCAGGACTGAAAGGCACTTACAGCCAAAACTCTTTCATCGCGATTACGCATGTACCCAGAATGTCAAACTGCAAGGTCACATGTTTCGCAGAGTTGGGAGCATTAAATATGCCGCGAGCGTTAATTGGAAGCATGCAACTCAGGGAGCAAGGCCAGAATCGACCACGCGCAACACAGCGGTGACTCAGTAAAAACAGTAGCATCGCGGTACCGCAGATCGACTCTTGGGTGATCTTGGTAGAAGGCGCAGCAGCTTATGATTTTTTTTTTGATGTGCATAGAATTAACAAGTTCACTTGCGGTCACCATCATTTTTATTGCACTGGATTTCAGGAAAGCGAGAAGCTGTCCCGTTGTCTTGTCACCATATGTTTTTCAGTTAAGTAAATGATTGTTGCGTCCATAGGCGCACTTTCCATCACGAATCATTTTGTACCTGTTTTTCAAATTTCAGTTATTCGTTCCAGAACAGAACTGCCCCCGGAACAAATAGAACTATTGCGCATGGTGCTGGAAGAACCTGTCTTAAGGATGATGATAATGATAGTTGAAGAGCAGGGAACGAGGAGGA